AGTTCAACAAAAACTTTTTTATCACCATTTTTTCGTAGAGAAATTTATGATTAATTTAACACGAAATTTGGTGATTTCCCTCAAGATCTGAAATTTTTTGTGACGTTGAAGGAATATGAAAAATTAGCTGGAAAATCTCTGGCAACACTGCAATATTCACCATTCGCCGAACATCAAACGTGGAGCCAGCTTAATGAAGTTAGGTCAAGCGAGAGGGACAAGCAGTCATTGTTAACCTCGGTAGCCAACCATTCACCCGTTACACAGTAAGAGAAGCTCAGCCGATGGCTGGTTGTGTGTTGCTGTGGTTGGGCGAAGTGCTGTGTGTTTTGCAAATAAAAGAAACTAGTAGCGGAGATATCAGACGGAGCTAGCACGCGTTTTGGATAGATACAGCTCTAGAATACATCTTTTATAGACAGTAAAAAATTGTTCATAATACATTTCATGTTCATAATAAGATAGTGCTTGAAGTCTGGTCTTAAAGTTATTTTTAAGATTTATCTTTGCTTTAAATCACACTGCCTGAAGAAAAATCGAATATATAAATTATTTATGCTGTGATTTCTTTTAATATCGATCTCGCTTTAAATAAAATAATTTTAAGTTAAAAGACCGCGATTTTTGATAATTCTTGTCACCGTCTACTATCTCCGACTAAGTAGTAGTAGTAGTAGTATTAGTAGTAGTATTAATAGTAGTATTTGAACCGAGACTCTAACCTATCAGAGGCACAGCGTCGGACGTCTGGGTGATCACGTGAGCTACCAGCAGCGAGAACACAGTCTGTGACAACAGAATGGTCACACCTGCAACAGACAGTGTGTCACGCGAGGCGTCTGACTTGTGAACACCGTATGCGGCCCTTCTGTCCAAGTATCCGGCTCACCCCCAATTGGGTAGGGGAGATCGGTGCTGGTTGGTACCAAAATAACACTAATTCTCCACTAGTTCAGATCACTAAATCACCTCTAAAATTTATCCATTCGACCCATTGACAGCTCTTTAGTTTCGCTACAGAGCTTTATTGATAGTTATTTCAAAATGTATTGCCATATTTTGCATTTCTGTAAGTATATAGGGTGTTTCAAAAAACCTGTGCCATCTTTCGTGAAAATAAGATTTATTTTTCATATCCACATGGGTCCGATTCTGCTTCGTTTCATAATAGTTAGGAGGTAAAAATCTATTTTTTTTTCGATTTATTAAAATTTTCTTCCAAGTGCTTGTGGACTTTTTTTCCTCTTAGTAGCAAATTTGGGTAGGCAATTTAATGCCTGTTAAAAGTTATATCTTGATATTTTGTCTGTCATCTCGATCTACTAGATGAGATAAACGCAATTTTATTGATCACAAGAAAATTAAAATCAAAATAAAATTAATAAATTATTTATTTAATGTAATATCTAAATAATGGTATTTAAGATGATTACGAAAGGCCTATTTTTTAAAAGTTTTAACATCCTGCAACTTTAAAACTATGCATTTCCGCAATCATCATTATAGGAACTTTTTTTCATACTTTTTGATGAGGAATCAATGAGTACTTATTTAACATTTTGGCAAGTTAGTGACATTAAAATTTTTTATAGGTACTATTAAATTAGATTAAGACAAATTTAATTATATTGCGTTTATCTCATCAAGTAGACCAAAATTGACAAAATATCAAGAGATAACTTTTAATCGGCATTTAACGTTTTACACAATTTTGTTAACAATAGCAAAAAGTCAGTAGCGCACATATTTTTTTTAGAAGAATATTTCGGTGATACCCATATGCACGTCCTTGGTGTCGACACTTTTTTTGCATTAAAATATGTAGCACTCATAATAACTTTTACCCTCCAAATTTCATTCAAATCGCTAAAAGTATTTGGAAGAAAATTATAATAAATCGAAAAAAGATGAAGACTTTCACCCCCTGTAGCTACGAAACAAAACAGAATTGGGCCTATGTTAATATAAAAAATAAATCATATTTTTATGAGAGGAATTTCCCCACGAGAGATGGCACATATTTTTTAAAACACCCTGTATAGTCTTGGATTTTAAAGAAAAATATTATTTATTTCTCAGTCAATATTCAGTACGGCAAAACCTCTGGTACTGGACAAAATTATGTTTAATCTAAGTTATGATTCATTATTTCATAGTGATTTTGATAATATTCTATCCCTTTGTGTAAGTTTTACTGTTTAGTTACTATATCAAAAGTATCTATTGGAGAACTCTAGTAAAAAAATTAAGATTATCATCCAACTTATAATAACGTACTTTGTTTCACGTCAAAATTGAATAAAATAGTGACATTTCTTGTTAGTTAATGTGACAATGACAACAACATCGTATAAAAGTGGCAAGATCATGCTTTACTAACACTAAATGTAACTACTTTATGTAAAAACTGTAATGTGCTGAAAATGTGTTTGTACGTTATTAATTCCGTTTCTAAGTGAATTATCTATCTAATTACAAGCCAATTATTAGTGCTAATTAATGTTTGAATCAAAATATTCGTTTTTCTAATTGTTGATGAAACTTACCCCCTGTGTCCAACCAGCTCCGATTTCCCCTACGACTCAAAGAGGAAATGTTTACGGCGTTTATGTATTCCCCCCAACCCAAAATTGTACAGCACTTCGCTCAGCCCCGGCTGCAGCCCGAAACATTTCATCTTTGATCGCATTTAGACAACCAGAATTGCCAGGTACCAAGTTAATCATGATTGTTTTTGCTGAGGAGAAGCGAAAAACTAAAATTATGATAACATTAATGTGCTTTACATGATAATAGTGAAGCCCTATGGTGTCCGCATTTCTATCAAAAAATAAAAGTATTTCTACAACATATTTCAGATAGTAAAGGAGATATAATCATCACAACCATGCTGATAATTATTGGGTAAATTAGTTTTTGATAGAATTGTGGAGGAGTTAAAACACTCCTTTAATGAGAAATGAGATTTCTGGAGGATTGGTTTGGTTTAGGTCAAGAACGGTAAACGAATTAAGGCGGACTCGCACGACTCGTGTACTTGTACAAACATTTGTTATCCGTTTCCTTGTGCAAAAAATGTAGTTTAAGGCGGATTCTCACGACTGGCGTACTTGACAAACATTTGTTATTGGAATATACTTGCCATGTCGTGAGAACGGGTTCCTTGGTCACTTGTCGCGTCCCCACTCTCTGCCGGTAAATATAGCCCGAGTCAAACGATTAATCGTACACTTGCCAAGTATACTTGGCCAGCCTTGTTTACACTAACGACTGCGCAAATAATTTTACTGTTATAGCGTATGTCCTATTTATTTCCGGATCGTAGTGTTTTTCGAGTTAATTGCGGATAATTTAAAACGTTAAAACAATAATAGATTATGTAATATCAAATTTACATTAATAACTTCAATATTGGCGACATACCTAAATCGTTTTCACAGGGATAAATGGAGTGGACAAATGAAGACTACACGGGAAAAAACAGATATGTCACATTTTCATAGAAATTAAGATAGCGATACAAATTTATAGACAAATGTTAACGTCATTCGAAAAAAGAAAGCAATAATACGCTTAGTCCCAGAGATATTACAGCTTGGTTATTTCGCCCTACAAAAGAAAAACCACAGTAGTCCACGCGTAAATGGCAAAAACCAGAGATGTACTTACGCATGGGCGACAAGCATGCATCTTGCAATTAGTATTATATTATTAAAACAAGGGATATTACAGAAAATAAACGTCGAAAATCAAAAACACAAACAAATTTATTCCGCTCGAAACTTGCCGAAGCTTACAATAAACAACAATAATCTCGACTGACCGAAAAACATAGATGAATCAACAAATCTCTCAAAAACATCATCTGACACGATCGATAGAAAAATATTATCCTTATGTAACAATCTTAAAGGTATACACATACGTAATTAATTTATGTACGCATATACGGAATATTTTTTTCGTTATCAATATGGTTATAAATTTATGTATGGTAATAAAAACCTACTTAAATATAAATTTTCAACAAAAAAAATAATAGTTTAGATTTAGGTTTTATACAACCTTTAATTAATTGAACATCTCTGGTTTTCTGCTGTTTTGTTTTGCATTTTGACTATTTTTTTTAGATTATCTATTTAGATTTTTATTTCAATATTTCAGAATATGGCGATAATTCACAATATTAATAATTCAGAATTGGTAGTAATATAAATATTTTTCTAATTATTCAACCGAAAATAACATATTTCCTTAAAAACACTAAATTGCATTTTTCTCGGCTCCAATTAAAACGGACAAAACTGGGTTTTCCCGTGTAGTCTTCAAATGATGTTGTTTTGGAATTTATGGATTTATACGAAAATGAGCCCTTCATATGGATGGCCAAACATAAAGAACATAGAAATCGTATTGCAGTGTACAGTAAAAGAACTTAAAAAGAAAAAAGAATCACTAGCAACGACAATTTCCGGACGACCAGTATCCATCGAGCGACTATACTGTTTACTTGGCAAGGATTGTAGGGGTACTTGGCAAATACGCAAATATTGGCGTACTTGCCAAGTACACTTGCCAATGTAGTACAAAGTGGGGATTGGTGGGGATACTTGCCAAGTACGCAAATATTGGCGTACTTGTCAAGTACGCCAGTCGTGAGAATCCGCCTTTACAGAAATAGCATACTTGCCAAGTACGCAAATATTGGCGTACTTGCCAAGTAAGCAACTATTGACGTACTTGCCAAGTACAGGAGTCTTCAGAATCCGCCTTTATGTTAACTGTTCTTGAGTTTAGGTGAGGTTTGGTAATTTTTTTAATAAGAGGGGGGAACCTGGCAACGCTGTAAACAACCATCAAGCTGACTGGCACATCCGGCCGCGCGTCACACCAATCTCACACGTACACAAAAAATGTAACAAATATATATGTCAATATCAAAATATCAGGCAGCACTGAGGAGTAGCCAGCACAGGCAGGTCAGACAAAACGGTTGGTACCTAACAAGGGAATGGCGTCAGATACTTGGGGCAAGGTTTCAGCCACGAGGTTCAGGAACACAGTCAGCGATAGCAAGATGGTCACTCCTGTAACAGAACACATGTCGATTATGGCACGCGGTGGTGGGGTCGGAGGGGCACAGCTTTCTTGTGCCCTTTATCGTCGCTACCGACTCTTCACCGTACTTACCCTTGTTTCTACTCAACTGGCATCTACTCGCAAGGATTACGAAGCTAGGGAAAGGTACAGCGTGTGATAGCATGCTACAACTATATTCCTTTATCAACTGACAGTACTTGTTAACCACGCACTTAGACCTCCTTCTGGCACAGTAAATTTACCAACTATTACTTTGTAGAAGCTCCTAGGACTGAGTATAGGCATTTTTATTAAAGAGTTTTTTAATAAAATAAAAAAAAATTGTTATAGTTTTCTTAAGCACAGATAATTTAAGAAACAACTAAATTATTGTGTTGTCGTGACAAATTCTTTATCTTAGGAACAGTTCTCTATATTATGTAGCTAATCTTTGAATGTTTTTGAGCCAGGGTCCAAACCGTAGATTGAGAATTTAATTCTCTATTGAATGCCCTAATGGCATTTCAATAAGTTAATTAGTCTTGGTATAATTAATTAATTTCAGATCTACTCTAGCTCTTCGAATTTAATGATCGATATTTGTTATAAACAATTAATTCAGGCAACCAGTAAAACAACTCTTTTAAAATTTAAAATAATTTATTAAGGATTAGGATTTTATTAGGATTAGAATTTTTATTAGGATTAGGATTATTCGAAGTAATAAAATAGAATTAGTGGTGGTTTTTCAATGTACTCTAACTCCATACAGAAGAAATACATTATATACAGGGTGAGTCTTAAATAAGTGCAAATATTTTTAGGGCTAGTAGATCTCGATCAAAGAAACATATTTTCTCTTTATCGTTTGTCAAATATGTCCAAAATAACCGAGTTATTTTATTTTGAACATTAAAAAAAATATTTTTTGAGAACCACAGGATCTTTTCTGGGTTTTCTTTCTTGTAAATTTAATCTACTACCTATGTTGCCATATTATGAAGAAATTATGATTTTTAGCAAAAAACTAAAAAAAAAATCGCGAAAAAAACTCAATCATGTTTCTTTCATTGACATTTACCAGCCCTGAAAATATTTGTACTTATTTGAGACTCACCTTGTATATAATAAAAATGTATGTGCAGAAAACATTAAACATTGTTCGAGCAAAATATTGTTCTAAACTGTGGAAACTTTTTGGCGGTAATTTTAGTTTCTATTTTGTTGTAAATTAATAACTTCACCGGTTAACGGAAAAGCTATTATATTACAGCGTTTTGTTGGTCCATATTCTAGTATGAATAGCATGAAATTTAATTAGTCCATGTGAAAATTCATCATCTTAAAGCACTGAATTCGAGAATCCAGAAATAGGAATTTATTTTAAACGGATTAGGAACAATTTTTCTTATTTCTTTCCATCTATTTTATGTAAGACTATTTATATAATTCAGTTACTTAAATTATTTACCAAGTTATTATATTGAGAACTAAAGGAAACCTTTCTATACCTTCAAATCTTTCTAAGCTGATATGAAAACATTATATCCTATTGAAAATAAAACTTTTACCCAACAGAAATATAACTAAGTTAACTATAATGTTAATCAACAAAGAAATTGCTTATTAAACGAAATAACTGATTATAAAGTTAAGAAACTTGCCGGCTTTTCAATTTCGAAGTATTCGAGGTTTCCAGAAAACTTAATAATTAAACAAGCTTTGCTTCTACTTCTTGAAATTACCGAGGGTACAGAAAAATAAGAAAACCATTAAGTATTTAGCACAGATGGGGTATTATTAAATTTATTATAGAAATAGGTCTTCGATTTTGTCTAGAGGTCTTTGTTCGAGGTCTATTGACCTCCTAAGGGAGTATAATCCACAGAGACTGTAGCATTTAGGTTCCATTGGACGCCTTGTGGATCCTACTCCTGAAGACAGAAAGTTCCTGTCAGACATTCAGGAGGCTACAGCCAGATTAATTTTAACACGTTTTGATCATACGGAAGAAAAATAAAGCCATCTCAATTAGAAAATGTTTTAATCATACGGTAGTAGAGGTAGAATAATTGAAATCAGCTTAATTATAAAAGGGTTTAATCATACACGGAATATTAGAGGGAGAACATATTAATATCAGCTCACTTATAAAACATACATACCTTATTAAATACATTTTGATCATATTAGAGTATTAGAAGGGGAAAAGTAAAGTCAGCAGAGTATCAGAGAGGATAGTATTATAGGAAAAATAATTAAATCCCGTTCGATTATATGATATTTCGATCATATCTACAATAATAACGGGGATATAATAGTAAATCAAGCTCGATTATAAAATATTTTTATCATATTTACCTTATTAGAGGGACGATATTTAAAGCCAGCTTAAGTATAACACGTTTTGATCATACATACGATGTTAGAGGGAGAATTAATAAAGTCATCTCAATTAGAAAATGTTTTAATCATACGGTATTAGTGGTAGGACCTGGTAGGATAATTAAAACTAGCTTGATTATAAAATATTTTGATCATATATACGATATTAGAATGTAGAATATAATTAAAGCTAGTTCGACTATAAAACCTTTTAATCATATGTAGAGTATTGATATATTTAATCTACTGTTTTTTTTTAAATAGTTCCTCCAAAAGACTACACAATTTTGAACAAAACCCTTTGAATATGCCTGTGTATATATCTATTTCATATTTTAATTCTTTGTTTCAGATTGCTCCAGAGTTCCACAGCCCACTTGAGCAGAGAACCAACTATAGGCCTTATTCCGATCTCCGAACGTTGTATTTGTAAAACTTAAATATATACCTAATGTAGTTATACTTATTTTCACGAATAAATAAATCTATTATATATATACAAATGTCTTTTATTTTCCACCCTATATCAAAAAATATTAAGCTTAAGTAATTAAAAGAATTTGTAAAGCCTAAAATACCTAAACAATATAGTCTTTCGAAAATCAAAGTGAATTCCAGTTGGTCTAAAACCGAGGCAAGCACGAAAAAGGCTTTAATAAGTACAACAGTACCATCATTGTCCATATAAAACACACGAAAATGGGATACCCTGTATATAAAATTTATTTTAAAATGGTCTAAAATGATGCTACCAAATTTACACAGCAAAAATAATTCGGATTTTCTTGACAAAATGGTGAAGGAATTTTTTTAAAAAATATATTTTTCTAAAATAATTAATTAAAATACATGACCAACGAGCTCGAAGAGTTAGATTTTTTTTGAAAAACGCAAATATCTCAAAAACTAAGAAAAAAATACCTACATTTTTTTCGGCCATTCGATAGAGAATTAAAAGCTCTATCTCTATGCAAAATTGCAGCTCTATCGGAGATACTTTAATTTTTAGAGCAAAATTTAGCAAAGGGGTTAGCCTTACCTTTTCTAGAGCCGAAAAATTTAAGTATCTCCGATAGAGCTGCAATTTTGCATAGAGATAGAGCTTTTAATTCTCTATCGAATGGCCGAAAAAAAAGTAGGTATTTTTTTCTTAGAAAAAAAGTTATTAAGGGTTAAAGTTTGCCAACGAGGTCAAATCGTTAGAGATAGCACATTTTGCGGAATAAAAATTCGCAGCGTGAATTTGCTCAATTTCTACCACCATTTATCACTACGGGCATCACTTTAGACTGTTTTAAAATAAATTTAGTGTACAGCATACAGGACATTTTCGTGTATTTTATGGGGAATTTTTTCCGTTCATGAGTTGAGATAAAAATATGCGGTTTTCACATTACTGTGCCACTTTTTTATGAAACTAATAAAACTACACACAGATTTTTCCTAGGCTTCTTAGTTCATTATACAGGGCGAATTTAAAATTGTAACATTTTTCGACCCCCTTTGTACCTCGGTTATCTTTTAACTTATCGAAAAGGTGAAAATTGTGTCCCGTAGAGTTTTTCACGTAGAATGCAGGGACTTAAGTAGTTTTTCGTTGACAGCTGTCATTTTCGAAATATGACTCAAACTTGTGTTTTTTTAATGGGATACCCTATACACGATTTTTTATTTTATTTGTCTTGTTATGAGCTATCTAAAAATATAATATACCGATACTTATTTCAATAAAAAATGCATTTTTTGACTGTTTAACATAAATAAAAACTTAAAGAGTGTATTATTATTTTATTTTATTTCAACAGATAATTTTGCTTTACATCGTTTTATCTTAATAAAGTGTGTGTTAAGTCACTAATGAACCTATTGTATTTTATTCAATTTATTTTTGTATATTTAAGGGGGTTTTAGTAGTTTTGTTTTTATTAATAAATAAATAAATTAAAATATGGTCACAAGTGTTTTACTGGTTGCCTCAATACTAAAACTTTACAACGCTCTCACCATTTTCTCAAAAATTCAAAATATCTCAAATTAAAACGTATTTTTTTGTACTGAGTGACTTTTTGAATGAAATTTGTATTACTATATAAGGAAATGCGGAAGTTGTTGTAGTAATGTTTAACTTTACTACAATCACTGATTAATATTATGAATGAAGTTTAAAATGGCTCTTATAGTGAAATCGTTTTTTCAGGATATCTCAGGAACGGATGTAGCTATCGGCCTGGTTGAGGACGCGTTGGATTCGGGGGCGCAAAAGGCATCGAGTGAATGTAGTGTCATCCCTCTACAACCCTTATTTTAAGGGTAGTTTATGTTTTTAATGTATTTTTGGAATAAATCTGGAATGGCTAAGTCTATCGATTCAATTAAAATGTCGCTGGATTCAGGGGTGCAAAAGGCATCGAATAACTCTAGTTTCATCCCTCTATCGCAACTATTTTCGGGGTAGTTTTAGTTTTTAATAGTTTTTTGGAGATAAATTAGTAACATATGGGACTATCGACAGTATCAAATTGTCGTTGGATTCGGGGGTACAAAAGGCATCAAATAACACTAGTTTCATCCCCTTCTCGCCCTTATTTTCGGGGTGGTTTTTGCTTTTATTATTTTTTTTTGGAAAGAAATCGTGAACAGACGGAACTATCGACTGTACGAAGTTGTTAGATTCAGGGATGCAAAAGGCATCGTATAACACTAGTTTCATCCCTCTGTCACCCGGGGTAGTTTTAGTTTTTAATAGTTTTTTGGAATAAATCTGGAACGGATAGTACTATCGACTCAGTTGAAGTATCGCTGGCTTCAGGGGCGTAAAACTCATTGAATGGCAGTAGTTTTACCCCTCTGTAGCCATTACTTAACGGTGGTTTTTGTTATTAATAGTATTTTTGAAATAAATCGGGAAGGGATGAAGCTATCGATTCAATCGAAGTGTCTCTGGCTTCAGAATCTGGCGTAAAAATCATCGAATGTCAGTAGTTTTAATCCTTTATAGCCATTATTTGAAAATTACAATATGAAATATTTTCCCAGAAATTATTTTACTTCTAGAAAAAGAAATCTTTAAGTTTATTTATATGTTTAGTAAAGGGGAGTTATATAAGCTTTTTTACCTAAAAATTGATAAATATCGATACTATAAGTGTTTTACTGGTTGCATAAAATATTTTTTAATTTTTTCTAAAGATTTAGATGGGTATAATTGAGTATGATCTAAGAATTAGGGTTCATTTTGAAATTAATTAATTAGGCTAAAACTAATTAATATATAGAAATCATCATTGTTAGTCAGCATTTCGGATTTGAAGCATAGATGCCTAGATATTCTTGGAGAAGAATTTTTTTCAAAACTTACTTTATGTACTTCAATTACTTAAGCATCTTGAGTTCTTAATACTGTTAGCAGTGTGATGAAATAAAGCTTTTTACATATATAATGTGTTGTTTAGTGATTAGACATGTATCCCATACGTAAAATGTTTTATTAAAAAGGGGGTAATAAAATATCTCGATGTCAGTACTGGCAGTTGATATAGAAAAAAGTTTAAAAGAACAAACGACTGAAAATTTGGACTCAATGTTGAGTCTCTGGTGGGCCCTCCAAGTATCAACCGGCATTCCAACATGAGGGCGGCAAACACATGATGCTCCACTTGATGCCTATCATACCTATCAACGGAACTGCGTCTGACGTGGTCGGTATCTTTTCAGCTACTAGGTTGAGAAATACTGTCAATGAAAGAAGAATGGTCACACCTGAAATTAAGATTTTGAGTTGTGAACGTGTTAGGTGTGGTGAACAGACAGCCGTCGAACCAGGGAACTATATTTTAGAACTATAACGATCACGTGGACATACATAAATGCCAGACATATCTCCCAGCACAAGAAAACATCTCCTACACAAACATTATTTCAGCAAATATTTTCATATTAATCTTTAACACAACACACGATTGTGAGTAATATTTAAATTCTAGATCTTAGAAGTAAGTAACAAGGAAAATTCTGTAAGAATAATATGTAAAGTTTTGCAGAAAATAATGAATTAGTTTGGGGAACATTCCCTGTGCGCCGAGAGAACTTAGGCAACCTGTGCGTAATCTATGTGTGCATGTCGAGTCGTGGTGTGATGGTAGCTTTCTGCGCAAACTCGCAATGCCGTCACTCTATGGACTACGGGATGTACCTAGGGTGAGTTTCTCTCCCGAGTCGGGTGGGAGAGTGAATCCCAGAAGAGCCATCGACGAGATGAGCACGCAGGGCACGATCAGGTTGAAGAAATAGTAGAGGGTTCTTCGCCTGATCTGGATGGTGAACGTGACGTCCACGTACGGCTCTGGACAGCACGCGTACACGATGGTGTTCTTCTTTCCAGGCATTCCTGCAAGCAATGACTACCCTTACTACCGACCACCACGTTTCGGACTAAACAATCCTATAATTAGTCATCCAGTTTGATGGATTTAATCCGTAACTCAGATATTATAAAAATTCTACTGTGCTAAAAAAGCGCGACTCAAAAAACCGAGACATATTCTATCATTAATTTTAAAATATAATTCAGAATATAAAATGTTGTTTTTTTTCCTTTTGAATTACAGCGGACAAGATTTGTTTTTGAGATCCATTGTTTTTCAACACAAAGGGCAGAATCAAACCAATGCCCATAAATTTCAAGTAAATGAATTTTATTTCGTGGAAATTAAACGAACAATTAGGTTTAAATTACTCAATATAAATGAAAATCTTTTTAGTCAAAAATAAATACATATATAGGTTTTTTCGTAATATAGTTCAAGAATTAACATTATTTTTTCAGATAAAAAAACGAGATTTGGTATTTTAATAAAATGTAATAATTATATTATGTCATAACATAAATTAGGATTGATTGACAAATTCCTGTTTCTTCCGGAAATTACTACAACTTTTGATTTTTAAATGGCACCCTCGGTATTCTTTTACTTTATTCGATAGAAAATGACACTCTGAATAGCATGACATAATATCATATCTCAACTTTTGACATTTTCGCTTAAATACAAATCGTATTTTAAATTTCAATCTAGAGTACCATGACTGCATTAAAAACACTAACAACGCTTTATTGTACAAAAAGCCAAAACAGCTTCATCGACAAAGCACTCACAAACAACAAAATCACAAAAAAAAAATACAAACAACAAAAAATACACAATACAAATAATACAATTTAAAAAAATTTAAGTCTTTAAAATTACAAAAAGAATATACATGGACAATTTTAGAACAGTACGCAGTAAATAGATATAATTTTAAAGTTATAGAATATTAAATACTTGACCTTTGACCAGTGTGTAAGATGATTTAGAATTTAGAATTTTAGAATGAGTGGGAGGGGGGTTAATCACTTCGACCTTACAGATCCATTGTGTCCCCCTTTCTTGAATCATAACTCATCATACAGTCCCAGGGCTTTGACAAAAGCCAGTATCTGGGACGGTTTTATAGAGGGTAGTTCTCCATCTCCAATATCAGTCGTACCAAACTTCATGGCACGAATGGTTGTCGTCTCAGCGCACTCAGTGATGAGGTGTACTGGTGTTTCACCATCTTCCCACAGAATCTGCATTCGCCGTTTCTTCTTAGTTTCAATCTACTGAGGTGTTCATTGAGGAGACAGTGTCCTGTTAAAACCCCGTGACAATCCGAAGATTGTTCTTACTCAGACCCAGGAAGATCTGTGATTTTTTCTTGATCATAAGCCCTCAGAAACTTCTTCGAGTGTCTTAGACCATTGCAAAGATTTCCATTCCAGGTTGCGGATGGAATCTTCCAAGTTCTTGAGTTCCGCCTTGAGTTGGTTACCACTTGGAAAGCAGAACGGTTCTGGTCCAGTTAGTGGAGTGTTCGCTCCTTTCCTAGCTAGATTATTTGCTTTTCATTGCCTTCTATCCCTTTGGTGAGCAGGCACCCAGTGTAGGAGGACTTTGTTTTCTTTGCCTAATCTATTCAGCTTCTCTATGCATTCTTTGACCAATTTCGAATTGATTGATACTGAGTTGATCGCCTTTAACGCTGCTTGACTATCAGATAAGATGGCTATTTCTTGTTTCCGATAGTTCCTATCTAAGATAAGTTGTACGCATCTCTCGATAGCGTAGATTTCTGCCTGTAGGATACTAGGGTAAGTGCCCATTGGTTCGGAGTAATGTAATGTAAGTAATGTAATGTAAGATGATAAAAATTTTAAAATTCAAAATTGTTCATAATTAAACATCAACAAAAAAGTCGTTTACCGCATATAGGGCTCTCTCCAGTAGGTATGATTTTAGAGCCTTGCGAAATGCGGGAAAGAATGAAAGCGATTTGATATTCAAAGGCAGATGATTGTACATTTTTTTGGCATTGTACAGTATTGAACCCTTAACTAGTTCTGAGCTCGGGGTTGGCAGATAAAGATCGTGCTCTGCATTCCTAAGTGGATAGTTATGAGATGGCCTTTCGGGAATAGCAGATATGTGCTTGCGGATTAAGCAAACGGATTCAAAAATGAATAAAGAAGGAAGAGTCAGTATTTTCAAATTTTTAAAGAAATTCTGGCAGAGAGTTCTACTGTTCAGTCCCAATAAATATCGAACTGCTCTCTTCTGAAGTATGAAAACACGATCAAATTTTGTTGCGCTAATTTTTAATCGAGGAGCCTTGGAAAAAATCACAAATCCAATTTTTAATCATATCTCAATTTTTTCAAAAGGTGGCTCATTAGCATAATTGGAAAAAGCATTTTTTTACAAATAATTTGGTACCACACACTTGGTATTTCGAGTCAAATTGTTGTTATGAATAGCATGTTACAATTTCAAATAAGCTATATGAAAAAATGTCAAAAGTTGACATATGATGTCATTCTATTCAAAGTGAAATTTTCTATCGAATAAAGATAGAAAAACCGAGGGTGTCATTTAAAAATTAAAAGTTGTAGTCATTTCCGGTGAAACAGGAAGTGACCAAAAACAATTGAATATATACGTCAATCAATCCTAATTTATGTCATATACTGAAATATCAAATCAAGTTTTGTTATCTGCAAAAACAAAAAAGTTATAGGGGTGAGCCACTTTTGAGACGCACCCGGTATATGCTAATAGAATAAAAAATAGGCGTCAGAAGGCGAAGAATTAAAGATTCATCGACAACTTCTGGCGCTACCACGTAAATTTATATATAAATGGAGTCTGCCAATGGCGAACTAATTTATTTAACGCAACAGAATACTTAACTAACGTTGTCCTGCCAGACAGATAACAAAATAAAAGAGCCTCGTTTGCTAAGTACCTCCTAAAAGATGAAAACTTCAACTAAAGAATTTAAAGTTTCAGCCAGCTCAAGTTCATAACCGCATTTCAAACTTTCAGAGAAACACTCTCCACAACGTTTGTATTTTTTATCCTTGGAAAGCTACCGTTTTATTTTAATATGAATTTTATTATCCCAAACACGGCTTTAGTTAATGTAGCTTTCGTCTGGTCTTTATACAAAACTTCAGCTGTCAGCAGATAAATTGTAAAAATTGTTGCACAGTTTCTTTTTTTTGTTTATAGGTAAAGGAAGCAAATTTTTTTAAATGAAGGTTAACACTGAGCTATCCAGGGTGGTCCGAACTCTATTCCGGAAACTTTGGCAGCATATTCTGCAGATAAAAATAAGTAAAAAAGTTCGTATAAATGTATGTCCTAAAATGCTTAGTTTCGAAAATACAGGGTGTAGAAGTTTCATTTTTATTTCGATTTTTTCCAAGAATTTCTGAAGTAACGTTAATATTTGGATGAAAATTGGTGACTGGAAGTTTATTGACATGAGAAATTTGATTTTGATGTCACAATGTCTCGTACTTGTAGAGGGCGCCACCGACATCTTTTTAACTGGTTTAAGAGTAATAACTTTCTGTCCGTACCTGTATAAAACAACTGAGTAAAAAAATATGCATTTACGACGTTTTCTACGTAAAAAAAGTCTCTTGGTAAAAATCGCATAATGGTTTTCGAGATATTTAGAATGAAAATTATCAATACCTGTCATCATTGACGTAAATTAAACATATTGACTAAATAGTCAATTATTGTCAGAAAGCATAAAAAATACAAAAGGCCTCAAGCAGGAATGTTGCATATCTCCTACACTATATTGAAAATATACCTGCAACAAGCACTAAAAAAATGGATGCTTAAATGTAGAGGAATGGGAATCCCCCTAATAAATGAGGACACCCTATACACACTATTTTTTGGGGACGACCAGATAGTCCTAGCCCAATATCACGACGACCTTGAATATATGGCAAGGAAGCTGATAGAGGAGTATAAGAAATGGGGGTTGGAGGTAAATATCACCAAAACTGAATGTATGACTGTAGAGGGGCCACAAGAGAACATAGTCTTAGAGGATGGAAGCGTGATAAAAAACTGTGACAAATATAAATATCTTGGATTGAAAATAACTAACGATGGAAAACTCGATGAGGGTATAAAAGATCGAATAATGCAAGGCAGGAGGGCAATATCTATATTGAATGGTGTACTGTGGGATCAAGGAATCTCTAAAGCTAATAAGAAGAACATATATAATACGGTACTGAAAAGCATAATAACTTACGGAAGCGAAGTAAGTTGAAGCAGTTGAAAAGCAGAACAGAAAACATGCTATTGGCGACCGAAATGGATTACTGGAGGAGATCTGCTGGAAAATCGAAAAGAGAACAAATAACCAACGACAGAGTAAGAGAGATTATGGGAGCAAAACACACAATTATTGTGGACGACATAAGAACAAAACAACTCATATAGTTTGGTCATGTGCAACGAATGCCCGATCACAGAATACCAAAACAAATTTTACTGTGGACACCTCGAGGCAGAAATAAAAGAGGAAGGCCGCGACGAAGCTGGAGGGTGGGTGTGGATAAAAAACTAGAAAATAGAGAAATACCTGATGATCTCTGGCTAAATAGAGAAAAGTGGAGGTTAGGTGTCGGAAAACGTCGTAGAACGTTCTGAACCGACTTCTTTTCTTGCCTTTAGCTGTGTATTTTTTCTAATTTCGAAAAATCGAAAGTAGAGAAAAAATTAAAAATTATTATTTATTAATATACACTAAAGCTGTAAGAATTTTGTTCATTTCATATATTTGAGCGGGCCGAAAAACGCTCTTTACCATCTTTTGACGGGAGATGCACTAATATCTCACCGACACTTTGCGACATCGTCTGTTGATATAGAAGAAGTTTTGCTTGCCGTATCGGTGAGAACCAGCCCCTGGACAGCCCACCTGATGAAGGGTAGGCCCAGAAACCGGTTGTGGGAGTGGAGCTTGGTTCCCCCCTTTACGACAAGCAAAACAATTTTCTTTTTACTTTTTATTTTTTTTTTTAATTTTTTCTCTACTTTCGATTTTTCGAAATTAGAAAAATACCCAGCTAAAGGCAAGAAAATATTATTTATTTATATATATATATATATATATATATATATATATATATATATATATATATATATATATATATATATATATATATATATATATATATATATATATATATATATATACTAAATAATTATTATAGACTGAAATCATAAATTTGAAATGTTTTTGTGCCAAAAGTTCAACAGAAACTGTTTTTTCATCATTTTTTGCAGACAAATTTATGATTAATAAAAAAGTTCTCAAATTAATCATTTCAGTCAAATAACTATCAACTCAACATATATGTTTATTTTTTGTCAATAATGACATATATTGACTATTTCCATTCTAAATATCTTGAGAACGGTTGTTCGAAGAGATTTTTACTAAGAGACATTTTTTACGTAAAAAATCACGGAAATGGATGTTTTTTCACTCAGTAGTTTTATACAGGTACGGACGAAATGTTATTACTCTTCATAACAGTTAAAATACATATAGGTGACGCCCCTTACAAAGCGCAGTCATATTGACATCAAAATCAAATTTCTCACGTGAAAAAACTCCTAGACACTAATTTTCATCCAAATATTAACGTTACTTCCGAAATTATTTGAAAAAAATCGAAATAAAAATTAAACTTCTACACCCTGTCTGTCTGAAACTAAGCATTTTAGGACTTACAGTTCGGACCACCCGGTATACTTCGTTATTTTGTCCTTGAACTTCATCGACGGAAAATGATCCTTGAAAATTTCATTACATCTACTGGCAGACCTTTTAAAAAGTTAAGTCAATTTATAACAAAGTTATCAGAGGCATTGAAATGCTGTAATTAAACTATGAGCATCGCTATTAACAAAGCAGAATTTTAAAGGCAATTAGCCCGCTCGAGATATAAAGCAAAATTTCACGGATCTATAACAATTTATAACATCAAGAACTATGTTTCGTAAGTCTATTGATATTGCCCTCGAGGAACGGGCTTTGTTAACCACAAATATACAAGGTGCATCATTAAAATAGTACCAAACCTCTTTTATAATTTTCTGTGAAAAATATATTTTGTTTTGATATTATTTTCTGAGACCAAGGAGTAATTTTATCAAGATTACTGTTTGACCAGCGGATCTGAAGCTACGGAAGGAATGCGAGAAAAAAAAATCGACATTGCCACGTTTATCTATAAAATTAAAACTATAAATTTAATATATTTTTATTATATATAATGTGTTTAGCATATATTTCTGACGTATATTGACCTGAATTTTAACGTAGTTTATATTGTTCGATATGTTTTATTTAATAACTTTTTTCTTTCATTCTGTATAATCATCTTCAACTTTCATAATAAGCATATTATGAAAGTTGAAGATTTTTCAACGATATCATTGGCAAACCGGCATCGCCGCGCATGGCCGCCTATTCATCGAACATGATTGGCGAGAGTACGTCACAGGATTTGTTACCACGCGGTTGCCATGGCTTTTACGCCTTTCCTATTCGCTTGCTTTATTCCTAACTTCACGGTCTCTTCTGAAAAGAGTAGGAATATTGAATACTATTGAAATATCCAGTGGCGGTGTCATTTTTTTGATCATTATTACTTTATTTCATTATTTTATACCGGTTATCCTAAACTTTATTCCTATATTTTTCGTATATTTGATAGTTAGTATGTTGTGTTTTATTGTTTTGTTATCTTGTTATAATGTTTTTCGTTCGTAGTTTTTAATTATTAATATCAAGTTTGATCGTATATTTGTTAAGGGTAAGAAATAATAGCTAATTTATATAGGTAAGTTAATAATAACGTGGATAAAATCTCATTTGGTTTATTTCCTTGTGTTGATTAGGGTTTGCGATGAAGAAGCTACAGAGAGTTCGCTTAAGTTGCCGCTTAAACGTAAACTTGAGCGGATATTTCTTTATACCGGAATTAGCGTATCGGCTATAAAAATATTCACACAGAAGATAAAAAAAGGCTGAAAACTAACCCCGATAAAATGATATCCAGCTCTGGAAAGAAACGACCACGTGAGACTGCTGTCGAAAAGCTCGACGACTTTTTCGAAGTCATCGAAGGTCAGGAATTTGATAAATAGATTTTATCTCGAATTCAAACTCGTCCCCACAATTAGAAAGCTTTTGCAAAAATTGCAGGAAGAATCGAATTTTCCTTTTGCAGGGAAACGCTTAGGGGGTTATTAAAATCAAATGAATTTTTTTGGCGTAAATGTCAACATAACAGATAAATATTAATGGAGCGGCCCATTATATTGCAGAGAGAGATATAAATATATACGCGAAATTCGAAAATATAGCCAAGTATTATCTATTTGGATGAAACATATGGGTAGACAATGACCTAACCTTTAAAAACTACTGGCGGAGCGATACCATATCTGGTGTAATAGGCAATATTGGATCTACTGGTGAGTAAAATTATGTTTTGTTTGCGCTTCCAAAGTTAACTATTTTCAAGTTTTTTTTGCTGGAAATAGTTATATCTAAAATTATGTATTATAGAAAAAAATATAGTTAGTACAGATATATAAATAAATATACCTCAAGACTCAGTCTTGATCATCTGCTGATGACAGACATGGTTAGCGAAACGTGCGTCCAGTGTAAAATTAAAAGTGTTTTGGTGTATTGTACTGATTTAGTGTTTTATTTTGCTGTGTAACACTAAAGGTTCCAACCCTCAGCTGTAATTATTTCTTCTATTATATTAACAACACAATAATAAAATGATTCAAAATATTTAAGGGAGCTTTAATAAAAGCTTTTAGTGTTTATCTGCTAACTCAACAGTAACGATTCAAACAGCATAAAGTTTTTTGAAAAAAAAAATTAATCTGAGTATTATATTTCTGATACACATTATTTTCATATAACATCGTACGCCCATGCCTATTTTATGAATGAAATTGGGCGTGTTTTGTTTACAACTGCGTTCCCCTGCCGATACCCCGTAGCTGCAGATCCGTTGGTTACACTATATATGTCTAGTTCTCTATATATGCTTGATGTAATGGTATAGCATTTTCTATCTAAGTCTAACGGGATGAGAAATAAGGAATAAACTACGGACTTACCAATCAAATACCATTCTCCATTGGTGATAAAGTCTGACAGGTCCCCTCCCGTATCCGAATTCAATATGAGGTCAAGCTGCAGAAAATGTTTGGCCATATAAATGTTCATCTAAAGGTAACGCTAAGTTCTACCAAAAAAAATCCGAGTAGTGCCTGCATAACTTAATAAATGCGCTAGCTTAGATCATAATTTTAGACATTATTAGTGAAAACTTTCATAATTAGGATGAAGTTTGTAAGAGCTTAATGATCTTAAAGCGTCAGAAAGTATAACGAGTATTAATAACGATGTTTTAAAGCGGGTATTTCCAGAGAGCCAAAATAATATAAAAGTTTTTTAGAAATCGACTTTTTCAATTACTTAATATTGTGTAGACACTACGAACAGAATCAAAGTGTTTACAAAAAAATATAAAGTAAAAAACACCAAATAATTCATCTATTTACGCTCAAAAATGTCGTTATTGGCTCACCGATATAAAAATTATTAAATTAGAGCAGCATGTCTCAATTTACCACTGTAACACATGATTTTGTGTTAAAACTCTTTTATATTTTATAGTCATTTGAGATAATAACAACGTATCAGTTAAATACAACTACTTAATAGTGTTTATAGTGTTCTCTATCGAGTTCATTGGGAAAACAGACAATTAATATATCATATTACATTAACACAAGCCAAATTAATGTATCACTACCAAACATACGATAAAAAAATTAGTTAAAATAATTATAATAATTTTTTAAAATGTTTTTCTGAGACAGGCTGCTTTCTATCTATCAAATATTATTTCTAATTCAAATCACGTGTTATATATATTCTACTACCCCTTCAGAGGAATCTATTTACCTCACCTAATCATCAATAGATGAAGCGGGCGCATTTAAATTACGATTTTTTTTAAATCCTCAAATTTTCTGGAGACTTTCCTCTTCCTGAGAAAATCTGGAAAATATCTGGACTACGTACATGTAACAACAGCAATGGATTAAGTAAGGAACAAATTGTAATCGAAATGATATCGAGTGTTGCATATGTGTTTAAATTTATTATAGAGAAAATAAAAAGAAAGGACTATTAAAAAGTTAATTTTTTCACAATGTCAAAAAAACTCAAAGCGCTTCTTAATTGTTTTAAAATGAATTAAAATTAGAAAATGAAATAATTTATTGAAACTTATACCATTATTAACACTACATCCCAGTAAATAACAAAAACATTTAAATATAAATTATATATTATATACACCTATGCAACACTATTTACATTTCATTAATACATATAATTTCAGTGTATTAAGGCACAGAAGTGCACAATTTCGTCAACATGCACACAGAGCATGAAAGTAGTAAAGAACTTTAACAGTAATATAATTGAACAAACAAAATAAGGAAATATTATGGTCATGCAGAAACGTTTACCATGCCTTATTTTTTAATTGATTTTGTTAAAAAACATGTTAGTTATGCAGCTGTTACACTTACACCCTAAGTAAAATAAGTACAAATCGATTAGAACAAAAAAAGTATCTTTTAAAAAGTCTTAAAGTAACTCAATTTATAATATTTTTAGTTATATACAGTATGTCTCCGAACAGGAAAAACTTTTTATTATTGACATTGTGAGAAAAGTGCATACTTTCCAAATTTCTATACCGTTGTAGAGAAAATTAAAAAAAAACATGAATATATTAGTTAAAAGTCCTAAAAATCAAAAGGCGTTTCTATGGTAATAGTATTTCGATTCTTTAGACTATAATTTAAAAGTTTTAATCACTTTTTTGATTAACTGCAGTCAATTTTAGAACAAGCATTTTTTTTATGAAGAATGTATTTTTCTTAAAATGTCAATAATAAAGAAGCTTTTCCTCTTTGAACATACTGTATATGACAATAGAATTAAATAAAATTTGTTACTCTAACACATAAAAAAGTTTTCATCATACATAAATTTAATTTGCAGTTCTTTAGACTATAATTTAAAAGTTTTAATCATTTTTTTGATGACTATTATAGGAGAATTTCTTACAGGAATATTGAAATTCCTGAGGACGGAAACAACCTACCGAAGGAGTTTCGTGTTGGTGAGCTTAAACGTACACAAGTTAACATCCCCACCAGTTCAAAGAGCAACCCCTCTGCTAAGAACTTTACGAAATGAGATGGGCTAATGGAGATTGTGTGGGTGTTGGTTTAACTAGGGAGTACGCTGGAGAGGTTAAACGGAACCTTACTGCTTAAGAAAAAAGAATATTTCTTCGAACAGATACTTAAGATCGAGCCTCAGGAGCCCACGTTATGCAAATCAGAATTTTATCAAAATTGTATTGGATCTATAAAACAAACAGAAGCATTTATACAGGCTGTGGAGAGAGAGAGAACGTAATGGTCCTATAAAACCTCAAAGGTTTCTACCACATTCTACATTACCTAATCTACTTAGTACATTTAATATTCATGTATTCGCCAATGCTCTAAATTTTCGTCAAGTTGAAAGTGTTATTATATTATTTTTACTTTTAGTCTAATTTTTGTGATTTTTTTAGCAAACTGTATACAGTGTGACCCACTAAAGACCTGGCACCCTCCATAAAATCTGTGTTTATAGTCCGATTTTGATGATTTTTTTTTTCAAATATAAAGTTTCAAAAAATGTACTTTAGGGCTCAATGTCATGTTATTTCACAAAAAACAAGGTCTACTTAATAAAGTTTTTGTGGTGAAAAATTTGCAAAATCATATTAGCGATTTTTTTTCAAAAAATTTGAGTACACCCCTACATTCGGCATCCCCCAAAACAGTTCTGTACCAAATTTCGTTTAAAAATATTAATTATTAATAATTCTGCAGTTAAATTAAATAATTCCCTATTTTTGCCAATTTAACGATGAGTTATCACGTAACCCTTGAAAAAAACAATCCACAACAATGGGTTTTATTAGCTGTCAATTCTTGCAGCGTAGAATTGAATATTAATTTAATAGCACGCAGAAAAGTGTTGTATCAAGAAATATTATTTGCATTATGGAACAATTAAATATTAGGGATAAAATTGAAATTATTCGTTTAGTGGGTGATAACTATCTTCAAGCAGGAGAAGCTGCCAGAGAATTTAACAACAGACATCCCGACAGACCTGCAGTAAGTAGAAGCACGGTTCAACGAATAAATAGAGTTTTTAATGAAACTGGTTGTGTGTCAAAATACTTACTAAAAAACAGAAGGCCGGAACATCGAATAAATAGGCGGAATGAGGAAATATTAGAATATTTTCGTAACAATCCTCGTGCAAGCATTAGAGGCGCCAGTGTTGATTTGGATATACCAAGGGAAAATATTAGGAGATGTTTGCGAACTAATAAAGTTAAACCCTTTAAACCAAAGATTTTACACACTTTGGAAAACGGAGATGATGTTAGACGATTAGAATTCTGCTTATGGGCTCAAGCAGAGTATTTAAATAATAGAAATTTCTTAAAAGAAATTTTATTTAGTGATGAGGCAACATTTAGTACAAACGGAGTAGTATCCTCTCAAAATTCGCGATTCTGGGCAGTCGAAAACCCTGAATGGGTGATCAATACAAGAAGACAGTATTCTCAGAAATTAAATGTGTGGTGTGGCATACTTGATGATAGAATCATTGGTCCATATTTTTTTGAGAGAAATTTGAATAGTCCAACGTTTTTGAATTTTCTGATTAATGACTTTTGGGATGCAATACATAATTTACCATGCCAAACCCGTTTGAATTTAAAATTTCAATTGGACGGATCACCTGTGCATAACGCGGCAGTTGTCAGGGAATGGTTAAATGAAAATTTTGAAAATAAGTGGATAGGTCGAAATAGCCCGCTAATTGAGTGGCCACCGAGATCCCCGGACCTAACACCCTTGATTTCTTTCTTTGGGGTTTCTTAAAGCAACAAGTTTACAAGTCTAGACCTCAATCTGTAGATGAATTACGTATTAGAATTACAGAGGCTTCTGCAAATATTACACCACAGCAGCTTAGGAATGTAACTGTTAATCTAAGAAAAAGATGCGACAAATGTATTGAACTGAATGGAGGGCTGGTAGAAGCAACTAGAATTATTTGAATATGTTTAACTTATTATTCGGTTATTGTGTTGCTTGTAGTATTTTTATCATTGTTTGTAATAAAACTCGTTGTCGTGGATTGTTTTTTCAAGGGGTTACTTGATAACTCATCGTTAAATTGGCAAAAATAGGGAATTATTTAATTTAACTGCAGAATTATTAATAATTAATATTTTTAAACGAAATTTGGTACAGAACTGTTTTGGGGGATGCCGAATGTAGGGGTGTACCCAAATTTTTTGAAAAAAAATCGCTAATATGATTTTGCAAATTTTTCACCACAAAAACTTTATTAAGTAGGCCTTGTTTTTTGTGAAATAACATGACATTGAGCCCTAAAGTACATTTTTTTAAACTTTATATTTGAAAAAAAACATCATCAAAATCGGACTATAAACACAGATTTTATGGAGGGTGCCCGGTCTTGAGTGGGTCACACTGTATATATCTATCAACTTTAATTCGTAAACTCAGTTTATTATATACTTTAGTATTTGACTTATTATACAGGGTTAATCGAAGAGTTGTTTTTCACCTTATCTTTAAAACACCCTGTGCAATAATTTCGTGAGAAAATTTTCATAAAACATTATTTTTCTGTCAGAACCATGTGTGATGAATATTTTGTTTTTTTTGACTAATGTTAACACAACATGCCTTAGTTAATTTTTAAAAGCAAATAAACTTGCCACAAACATTTTGCAATTTATTCAATTATCGTTACTTTTTGATGTTATTCTTCATAATGACGAGGTGGCTTTGGTGACTGTTGTTGTGTACGAATCAATATGGTTTTTAGTGTCGAAGCTTGTGCAAAAGTCATTGGTCTTGTTGAAGATGACCGAAATTATGAATATTCTCTTAATTCTTGAAGAAGAATGGAAATTAAAAATTAAACAATTAACCCTGTATAATCAGCCAAATACTAAAGTTTATAAAAAGCTGAGTTAACGAATTAAAGTTGATAGATATAGAGTTTGCTAAAAAAAATCATGAAAACAGGGCTAAAAATTACAAAAATATAACAATTTAAAAACTTGACGAAAAAAAATTTCTGTTGCGTTTTTTTTGAGCTTACTTTTTTCAGATTTCCCTTAAAAGTAAAATAATAAAAAACAACAAAATATGGTACATGACTTTTATTTATTAAAACACAAGCTTATAGTAAAAAAAATAAGTTATATTTGTTTCTAATAAAAATTTATTGGTAGAGCTTCGCAGAGAAGAACTTGTCAGTGGAATGTTATCTATTTTTAAACAAAGAATCTATTTGATGTATGTCGTTCGTTCGTTGAGACAAGAAAAATACTAAGTTTAGCTTTTAAAAGTCACTATGAACGGGAATAGACTGAGAGAATTTCTGCAAAAAATTCACGTATTTCTTTTGTAAAATTCGTAATTTCAATGTCATCTCAAATTGACTGAAGGAAAAGAAAGATTACCTCTAGGGACATCAAAAGATTTTTTGTTCGCTTGCGAAAAATTTTATTACACATTTCTCGCGCACTACAGCAAAACACTTTTTACTTTTTATTTTCTATCACGCTAGAAACTTATTAATAATGCTAACATGGTTAAAAGAACGTGTATCGTAATCTTTTAGATTATGTAGATAACCTGACTAGTTGTTATTTGAGTTATTGGCTGCTCACCAACCTGTATAAACACCATAATATTACAGATACATATCATTGTATATTATATAAAAATATATTTAGATGTTTAAATAACTTTTGTTAAATTATTTTTTTATTACGTGTTTTGTTAAAAAGTTTGTTTCTTTATAAACCTTTATAAGCAAATAGAAAAAGAACTACTTACCTAAATTTAAAGTTATATGTACTTAATAAAAATATGTTAAAATTGTCGTGAAATTACAGGTGAGAAGGTTAAAAATTACGGGTGGTAAAGTAGGTAGCAGAGAAATTGATGATATTGTGCTCCATGCAAAATAGTTACCCTAATGACATGGTTCCCTAATGAAGGGGTCTTTGGTTTTGCGCTACTGACACAGCTATTAGTTATTCTAATAAGCCATTTATTTCATTACGGATATTTCGAGTCCAGGAACTTTGTACATTACATCCTCAGGTTTACCAATATTTATCTTTATTACAGCGTTTTGCCAGCGCTAATATTTACGTATAAAACTCAGCAATCTGTGAAGCTTTACACGGTACGTATGTGAGAAGTTTTATGCTGCTACTCAAATAAAACAAATATTAAAAGAGCAAGAAGTTTTAATGGGCCGGGTGAAATATAGTAAAATGTAAAAAGGAAAAGTTTACAACTTTCACTACAGAATCGATAAAAAATATTTTATAACACTGAAAAAATTAAAACTCAATTATATCAGAGTCAGAGCTGAAATACTGCCGATGATAGGTCAAATTAGGGTTGCTTAATAACCGACTAGACGGTAATTTGCTGGCAATCTATTCCTACAAAAAATAATTGGTATACCGTGGTGCTGTATGACGGACTAAATTTATGAAAATTGTGACCCAAATATCCGTAATATTTAATATCGAAAAATAGGTTGCCTATTAAAATAGCTAATGTAGATGTCAGCAGGAAAACTAGCTCTAAGTATACGTCATTCGCGCCCGCGGTTTTCTATAAACTGGAAAACAAAATACGAAAAACACGACTAGCCTAGCAGCTAAAACGTGCAACTAGGGCTATAGGTTGACGATCGCAATCAACTAGCGATATTTTTGTGGTTTTGAGAGTTTTGTGTGTTAGAACCAGTGCTGGCAACAGGCTCCATTATCCCTATTTAATGACATGTCCACTAGAACTTGCTAGTTAACGGAGAGTTGATTTATTTCCTCCACAATTTTATAATTAATCTGAAGCAATTAGGGATATAAGGGCTAAAAAAGCGGCTGACAGCACTGACATAGTTCTATAGACAAAGTATATTAATAAAAATACAGTGACATACTAATTTTGAAAACAAGTAACTTCTTAACTTCATTTGTTAACAGACGCAAAAAAAGTTCAAACCACGATAAATCTATTAAATTTAATTTTAACATATCAATAATAAGTTTTATTTCAATTAAAATGTGAACAAAATACACAATTAATAACAAACATTAGTTTTTTATACAACTGCTTTATTTGCTCTGTATGCTTATCAGTTCAATCCAGAAATATGGTGTATAAACATTGGGGTTTATTTATTTTTGGTTTTATTACGGACGAAATGGTTTCCATCGTTATTTAATTTAATTATTAACGATACTAATTTCGATAATATGTATAGAAATTTATTATTTTAATAATTTCGAAATACAAATATATTTTTATTTTACTCTTGTTAATTTTAGTGGTTAAATAATCTGAAAACCCTAATGTTTTTATAACAAAATATCTATTAGTTTACAAAATCATACGTCAAAGTATTTTTATTAAAACACCCTTGTATATGTTTCGGTGAGCCATAACTGCATTAGGCTTACGCTGCTCTTTATGAAATGAAGGTATTCATTCCTTCCTTATAAAAACAAATTAAAAAATAATAAGAAATATTGTGTAATTATTAGATATTAGCGAGAATTTTATATTACTAGGTTATCTAAAAACTAAAAAAGGCGCATTCTACCTTTTTTTATGTGTATGGGATGTACACTGACTCAATAATTGACATCAGGCAGCTCACAATGTAGGGTGTCATGATATACCCTTTGTAATTCGAAAACTACGATACTTTTTATTGCATATATATTAGTGGCTTGATGATAAACTTGAGTTAGTGCACAGCAGTGATTGAAATAAAAAATGGAATGCCTTTATTTGACTTTGAATCGTTTAATCTTTGAGTTTGGCTGTGTGTTTGTACGTGAAAACTAAAACTGTGTTGTTATGTGTGAAAACTAAGACATGAAAATATTGCAGCAATACCTGGTTGCCGTCATGGGTCCAGCTACCAAACTTCATGTCACAGTGCTGGTCATCAAAGGGGAACCACGTAATGTCTATCTTGCATGTGCTCTTGAAGATACCCGGAGGGATGTACAAGCAGCTGCCGTTATGTTTGACCACAACATTTGTTTGGAAAGTCCCATCGAAACCCTCATCAGCACTTTACAACAACACAAAGTGTTAAAATCAGCCCTCTAAGTACTTAGTGTTGCTGATGTCTGTTATCGTCGGTATCAACGATTCGCACAATGTTCGAATGTACACCAATTTATACAATATGTACATCATCGTCATGTTAATTTTGTTTTGCTCGAATAGTAAAAGCGACTTGTATAAGGGTTTGTCATAATATTTCAGTACGATTTTAATTAAAATATTTAGAAGAGAACTTCGTTTTTTTGCTAAAGGAATTTATAGGTTCGAAAAGTACTATACCTGATGCGTCTCAAAAGTGGCTCACCCCTATAACTTTTTTATCTTTTCAGATAAAAAAACGAGATTTGGTATGTCAGTATATGACATATTCAATTGTTTTTTGGTCACTTCCTGGTTCACCAGAAATTACCACAACTTTTGATTTTTAAATTGTAACCCGGTATATTTTTACTATATAAAAAAAATCGTATTTTAAATCATATCTCAATTTTTTCAAATGGAACAAGGGTGGCTCATAAGAATATTCGGAAAAAGATTTTTTTTTGCGAATAATTTGATACCACACACCTGCTATTTAGAGTCAAACTGTCGTTATGAACCGCATTTTACAATTTCAAATAAACCATATGCGAAAATGTCAAAAGTGAACATATGATATATCATTCTATTCAGACTGACATTTTATATCGAATAAAGCAAAAAAAAAATTCCAAGGGTGTAATTTAACAATCAAAAGTTGTATTCACTTCCTGTGAAACAGGAAGTGACCAAAAACAATTGAATACGTCTATCAATCCTAATTTATGTGAAAAAATAAAAAAGTTATAGGGGTGAGCTACTACTAATATTTCATATTTTTCTAAGACCGAAAAAAATCATCAAAAATTGATCAATTTTCAATATTTTTCCATGCATATAGCCATGAAAATAATCAATCCTGATGATCATTCCATCTATTTTACTAACTTGAAAGCTTATAAAACGAAAATCTAGACCGTTCTAGGTAAAGGAGAACATTTTAAACAGCTCATTCTTTATTCAAAACGAATAAGTAAAATAAAACTGGATATATTTTAAAATACTCTCGATGGTTAAACTGGAAAGTTTATTTTACTTTTAATAACAAAAATCTAAAATATATTCTTGCAGGATGTTGTAGAGACTATTTATATTAGAACGGTATTAGCAAGAAAAAACAACTTTAGTTAAGAATTATAGTTCTCGAAGTCGGAATATTACCGATATTTTATTTCTTTAGAGTTGACAAAGGTATTGTAAATCAAGAGCTTAGTGTCTGGAAACTACGTCCTTTTTCGATAAAAGGATTTTTAACTTAGAGGAAAACGAAAAGTGAATTTTAAATAAAGTTCCTGCATATCAGCGATATTGTGGTTAAGACTTTTGACGGAAGAAAAATAGAAAACACGTAGCCCTTGTGACTACTTCTTTACGACCACATCTTACTACATTTCAGCGGCTTGACAATCGAATAAAAATGTAAATAAGATTCTTTATATAGGGTGGTATCAGTTTTACAGTCACATATATTTTTCTATAAATTTTTTAGTTGACAATTCTTCCAACATCAGATACGATATTAAAATTGTAAAAGGGAATAAATGTTGGAGCATGAAAACTTTAATAAGAACGCCAAAGGGCTTTTGCTGACAATATTGGTTGTTTAAAAGTAATCCCGTTGAAATTCCTTTAGCAAAACAACCGCGATGTTTAAAGCGATTTCCAAGTTAGAAGAAACTTAATAAATATGGTAAAAACACTTTTGCGGACTTATTTCTTGTGTGGCTTTTGTCATTAAATGCTGTTAGTTTATGCTGTAATTTTTCTTTCTCTACGAGGCTGAGTTAACACATAGTTAACATGCATAATAACACATCAACACTGAGTCATTTACCATCATCATCGAATATATCTAATTTTGACATTGACAGATAATAACATCGAACACATATAAGCAATGTTACATTGAATTGGTGAGATACAGCCACTGCAGTAATCAAAGCTGTTTTATCGGTACTTCTCGTACCAATTTCATGGTTTTATTTATACAGTGCCGATGTAAGTACTAAGTTAAAATTTTGGTTCTTAACAAAACAAAGGTGAAATAATTTTAACTCTACTTAAACTCGACAATGTATAAAATTTAATTATTTATATTAAGTTTAGGTCTTTATATTTTATTTATCTACATTTTTATTATTACTCACTTAGTAGTTTTTTAGGTTAATTGATTTTATTGGTTTAATTTTTAGAGGGTTATTTACTTGTCGTGCTGTTATAAGGTGTTTTCAGGGATGCCCCAACCCAGATAGAGTCGCATACTGAGCTGCTACTAAATCTCTCCATTTTTGAATAATTTAAAAGCTCGCCGTCAAAATAATGCCTCGGTTTCAACAGTTATTGCAATTCCGCGATGTACTGTTCAACCGCCGAAACCAACTATGCACATTAAATGAAACTTACAACAATTATTCCCGCACAAATACAGAAATACCCTTTAGAAAATGAATTTAGTACGCATCTGCACGATTTATTTGCATTATTCCGAGCTACGAGTCATTATTTTCCGTTTTTTCGAGTGTTTTTTTTTTATTTTTAAGCGCTTAAATAGAATAAATTATTACAACAAATTAATTCTTTTGTAATGCATTTAAAAATGTGTGGGAATGAATTTGGTGTTAGTTTAGAGTAAAAAATTGAACATTGGTAAGTATCAACTCAATTGTATTCGACTCTAGAGGATTGGGGCTAGCTGTGGCCCACAGCAACGGCAGGCCGTGTCATACGCCCCCACCCATTTGTTTAATTTTAAATTCACACACCCATTTGCATCTTAGCTCTATAAAAACTCGCAATGAAACCACTCTACACAGAGCCCTCATTCATTTATTATTATTTACATAAATCAAATAATAGCAGAGAAAAAGAGAAAACGTTCTCAGATAGAAGTAAATATTTTTTTCCTGAAAATATTTTTATCTCTGACAAACTAGATTATATTTCAAACTGTTTTAAAGTTTTAAAGAGTTTTTAATCTGCTTCGTTTTTGTCGCTTCAACTATTCAATAAAAATATCATTTAATAAAATTTTGTGTTTTTGAAATGAAACTTCTTTGCGCGCGTTGAGAGTAAAAAATCAAGGCTGTGGCAACACTGCTTAACGATCTGTCATATGCGGTATTCTACCAACCTTGTATTCTAGGAAGTAAATTTACATGAATATTTTCCTCGATAGGTTTGTAGCTTCTGAATAACAGTCAACATTTTTACTGGATGAGATATTTATTTCAAACCAATAATCAACGAGAATATTCGTATAATTTAATAAAGTTACTGTAAATCACTATAAATAATAAATTGTTTGTAATTGAACTGTAATTTCTGTTTTATTAATCCGGTAAATGATGGAGATAAACAATTGTGATTGATTAAAATTTTATTTCAAGATGAAACTTTTGTTAACAACATTCTGAGAATTCGAATAATGAATTGAATAATGACAAGACAAATGACATCTGTCTAAAAAAGATGTAAAATTTACAGTAACACTTTTGATTATGCAAAAGAAATACATATTCTATGCGTTTGTCTAACGATTAACATTGATTTAAAAATAAATCCCCAACATGAATAATGAAGAAAACATTTAAACAAAAACAGACCACACAAAACAAATTGTTGGTAAGTAGCAGTTAGTAGTAGTCAATGATAAAGATGTAGTAGTATTTTGGTTTAATGGCCACAGCTGCCAGGCTATCCGGCCGAGTGATAGAATTATCGTTTTTTAATAAAAATTAAAAAAAAACTCTAAAAAAATATTAACTCTATTTTTTTGAAGTTTATCAAAAGCATTTATAAAAAAATATATATCCTTCAAATCTTTCAATTTAATAGATGTCAGTAAGAAGTTTCAGTTCAAAAAAGCGCACATAGTGCACACCCAATTTTGTTTATCTTCAAATCGTATTATCGCTCAAATTCTGCGAGTGTCAAATAATAAATAAAAAATGAGAGCTCCTTTCACTTGTTTCAATTTCTATTCAGCATGGTTCAACTCTTGACCTACCTGTCTCCTATATTATCGTCATCTAGTAGTGATCCCCATTTTATAACCTATAGTTTATTGGCAATATATCTCAATGAAAACAGCTGACTTTTTTGCCCGGGAAATTTCGCCCTTTTTCACGATTTATGTCTAAGTTGAATGCTGTATAAGCATGCGATTCTGGTACTTTGGTGCAAAAGCGTTCAACAAAATTATTTATCTACTAATTAAGTCGATTCAGTAAGTATAAATGGTCTATATAGATAATATTTTTTTTAATAATAAGAAATAGTAATACAAGATGAGTGTTTTTATTTTTTTAATGATAGTGTTTTTCAAAAAGTAAAATTTAAAAATAAAATGAAGACTGCAGAATGACCCATATTGATATGAAAAATAAATCCTATTTTTACGTGAGGAATCTTCCCACCTTTGAACATTTAAACGTTTAATCAAATTTTCTTCAATACTGTTTCTATGCTTTACAGAAATAATAGAAAATTCTTTGGCGTAAAATATAAACTATAAAAAATAAATAAAAAAAAGCTTAAAAAGTCTAATCGAAATTCGAATCATAATTTACTTACTCCTTTTAATGTCGAAGAAAAGAGTTTTCTTAATATTCGCCATCAATATTTTATATTAGAATGATAAATTAATTTCGGATTTAAGTCCCTGATGGATGGTGACAAGTTTTTGGAAGAAAGTTACATTCAATTTCGTTAATTTATGTCTAAGAGACCTTTCAGGCACTTGATTGATTTTATTGACATTTGAAGTGTTTCTCTATGGAAATGCTACGCTTCCATGAATCAATCACTTTAAAATTGCTACAAGAGATTAAAAAAAATCATAAAGATGAAAAAAGTTTAGTATTAGTCACGTTTAAGTCCTTTTTGTATATTTTTGAAAAGCGTAAACATATGATCAAACGAAAATGGAGTGTAATCAGTATTCAGGGCGTGTAGAACATTAAAAAGTATACAGGAAGCATATATCGAGGTAAAGTGAGCAAATCAAATAAGAAAAGGATCCTTCTTCCTATTCCTTCTTAAAGTTTACAGTTCCATTAAAGCGAAAAGCCCTGGATTTTGTAATAGATACTGATTAGTAGTTTGAAAACAAATTGATGAAATAAAAGCTCCTCCCAAGTTTGCAAGATAAACTAGTTCGTAAAATAGAGATAGCTTGTTTTATTTGTAAAACTTTTGTTACATCGAATTAAGAATAAAATTAGTTATTTGGTTTAAATATTAAAATCTTCTCTATAATTGAAAAATATATTTTTACCCCAAAACTGAGAATATTTTAAATAAAAAAAAACGTTCTTCTTTCATATACAAAATCTACATAGAATAAAAAATAACGCCGATTATATGACACAAACATAAAAAATCATTTGAATCTTGCTATGACCTATTGTTAACAGATTCATAAAACGGTTATTCTATTGTGGTGCCCCTTGATAAAAAGAGAATAATGTAACAGTCTAATCTTTTGTGAAAATATGTCAAACAGTCAAACCGCCAATTTTGGTTTCATCTCTTTTAGAAAATAGTTAAGAAATATAAAATTTGAACCATTTTTCTTCCGAAAACCTTGTCACTATTTTTTTTATTATGTCCGTCTTAAATTTAAAGTGATATACAGGGTGGTCCGAACTGTATTCCGGAAACTTCGGCAGCATATTCTGCAGTTAAAAATAAGTAAAAAAGTTCTTAGTTTCGGAGATACAGGGTGTAGAAGTTTCATTTTTATTACGATTTTTTCAAATAATTTCTGAAGTAACGTCAATATTTCGATGAAAATTGGTGTCTGGGGGTTTTTTGATATGATAAATTTGATTTTGATATCATTTTGGCTCCTACTTGTAGAGGGCGCTACCTACATATTTTTTAACTGGTTTGAAGAGTAATAACTTTTCGTCTGTACCTGTATAAAACTAGTGAGTAAAAAATATTCATTTACGACGTTTTCTACATAAAAAAAGTCTCTTGGTAAAAGTCGCAACGAGTAATGGTTCTCCAGATATTTGGAATCGGAATTATCAATACCTGTCATCAGTGACATAAATTTAACATGTTTACTAATGGCATGTATTGACTCTTTCCATTCTAAATATCTTAAAAACGGTTGCTCGTAGCGAGTTTTACCATGAGATATTTTTTACGTAAAAAGTCACGGAATTGTATATTTTTTCACTGAGTAGATTTATACAGGTACGGACAAAAAGTTATTATTCTTCAAAACAATTAAAACACATGTAGGTGGAGCCCCCTGCAAATAGGAGTCATATTAACATCAAAATTAAATTTTTCACGTCAAAAAATTCCCAGACATCAATTTTCTATACTTCAGAAATTATTTGAAAAAAATCGAAATAAAAATGAAACTTCTACACCCTGTATCTCCAAAACTAAGCATTTTAGGACATTATTACATTTATACGAACTTTTTTACTTATTTTTATCTGCAGAATATGCTTTTGAAGTTTCCGGAATACACTTCGAACCACCCTGTATAAGGATCGCCGTTATTCCGAAATTATTTGTCACCAATTTAAGAATAGTTGTACTAAAAATCTATAAGATTCACATGGTTGAGATAAAAACATAATCGAAATAGAGTGAAATGATCTATTAGAATCAAACATCTAAAAAACGATTTTTTTCTTCAAATACTACAGGGTATAAATGGTAGGATCTACTGGATATTGCAAGAATATAGGCAACAATACAACTCATTCGTTCATGAAGATGATTAAGCTTAGTTACATTGCAAATACCGCACCACTTTTCGTGGTCTCCAATGCCAAAACTAGTATTTAGTGAACCAAAACATTTAACAAAACACCACAAACATAACAAAACAACAACATCTATTTTTGTATAGAAATTTTCTTTTTTTACCAGTAATGTTTTATACAATTACCACAAATAATTTTTTTTTCATGTCAAACAAAAAAAAAAGAAAACTTCGTTTTAAATTTCTTTATTGATAATTTATTTGAAAAGCCTAGATAATAGAATTTTCATCAGGTTGAATAGGGAAAACAACGACTTAACAGCATGCCCTTAAATTACTGCGATGTACCTAAAATTCTATGTAAATGTTACTAGAGGTTATCAAAAGATAAAGCGGGTTCAAAACTATACTTGTTACCTGTTATACATAAGGACATCAGGTTTCCATAGTTTATTAGGTGTTATCCTTAAATCCTTCACGCCGCCATATTCGGTTTCGTTCCAGCGAAGGTTGTAATCCGTCCATTCCTGCAATAAGGAAATAACGCTGTCTTAAAATTATGCACTTTGACGAATAAAGCTGAACATTACAATCTACAGGGTGAGTCTTAAATAAGTGCAAATATTTTTTTTGTGAATTTGGAATTTTTTGAAAAAACTTTTGAATTTTTTGAATTTAACTTTTTACGCGCGTTGGAAGTAGATTGGGCTAGATCTACCCCGATGAAAAATATACTTGCGGCAACACTGGTATACTAATATATAAAATCCTTAAGTGACTGACATACTGATTAATCACGATCCTGGTCAAACCACTCAACGTAAGAAGCTCAATTTTGGCATACAGATTTATTCTAGAGGTTCGATAAGAAGGGATTTTCGAAATTCCAGTTCCAAGGGGGTAAAACCACCCCTCAAATATTACAATATTTTTTATTTAAAAAACGGTAAAGTTTCACACGTATATTTTATTTCGTTTTTTTACATATTTTAAGATTTTTTAAAGATGTATACAGGGTGTTTCGAAAAATATAGTCATTGATTAATCACGATCCTGCTTAAAGCTTTTCACGTAAAAAGCTGATTTTTGGAAAACGGATTGACTTTAGGGTGTAGAGATTCGATAAGAAGGGATTTATCGAAACTCGAATTCTAAGGGGGTGAAACCACCCCTCAAATATTCGAATATTGTTTATTGAAAAACCGGTGAGTTTTTCGGAAAAACTCTTAAATGCGTATATTTTGTTTTGTTGTTTTACATGTTTTAAGATTTTTTAAAAAATTATACAGGGTGTTTCATAAAATATGACCACTGAGTAATCATAATTATTCTGCTTAAACTGCTTGACGTTTAAAGCTGATTTTTGGCAAACGGTTTGACTGTGGGGTGTAGAGGTTCGATAAGGAGGGGTTTCTCGAATCTCAAATTCCAAGAGGGTTAAAACGCCCCTCCAATATTACAATCTTTGTCATTTAAAAAATGGTTAGTCTTTCGGGAAAACGCTTGGACACGCATAATTTATTTTGTTTTTTACATATTTTGAAATTTTTTAAAAAATCATACATGGTGTTCCAAAAAGTTGGGTAATTGATTAACCACGATTCTGCTTAAACTGCTTGACGTAAAAAGACTATTTTTGGCAAACGGATTTTTCGAAAGTCAAATTCCAACGAGATGAAACTACCTCTCAAATATTACCAAGTTATATAATAATATCGCCATATTGTTTTTTCTCATGCTGACATAAATGTGAGAAAATTTTATCCAGTTTGTATGTTAATGGAAATTCTTGCTTTGCTTTATCATCACCATTACAAATGATTAATTCGACGCGAACGAAGTCGCGGGTTTACACGCTAGTAAATAAATAAATGCCTTTACTGTCAAAAAATTTTACAATTTGTAGACAAAGGTAAACTAAACAAACAAAGTAAACAAACAAGGTAAACAAACAAACAAACAAAAGCGAATACAAAACATTATACAAATAACATTGTCAGACTTATTGTTTAAAATAAACATTTATAAATGTTTACAATGTCAAAGGATAAAAGAAAAAAAAAATATATTTTTTTTTAAATAAAAACTAAAAAAATTTCCAAAAAAATTTTCAAAAAATTCCGAATTTTCAAAATTTTTTTTTTCGCAAAAAAAACCTCATAGGCGTGTTTCTGGGGTTGAACTATACTACCAGTTAATATACTTGCACTTATTTCTAGGACATCCTGTATAGATGTAGTAGTATTTTGGTTTAATGGCTACACCTGCCAGGTCTATCCGGCCGGGTGATAGAATTATTGTTTGAAAAAAAAACATTATACAATTATAAAGGTAACTCTAATTTTTTTGAAGTGTATAAAAAGCATTCATAAAAAAATATGTATCCTCCAATCCCTTCAGCTTAATAGCTGTTAGTAAGAAGTTTCACTTCACACGTGCACACACAATTTATTTTTAATTTTTAGTTAAAAAACTTAATATCTTCATAATATGCCAACATAGGCAGTAGATTAAATTTACAAGAAAGAAAACCCAGAAAAGATCCAGCGGATTTTTTTGAAATTTTCAAAGTAAAATATCTCGGTTATTTTGGATTGAAAAACGGTAAAGAGAAAATATGTTTCTTTTATCGAGATCTACCAGCCCTGAAAATACTTGCACTTATTTATGACTCACCCTGTATCTATCGTAGCATGCAAAATTGTGATTTAATCGAAAAAAACTAAGCTCATTACAAATTAAATCTGTTTAGCACGTCAAATAGTCGTATTTTCAAAATTAAATACCTTCGGAATTAATTTGTTCAAAAAAAAACGGGCTCTCGGTAAAGACCCCTGACATAGAACTTGACAATGAATGCAGTTGAAAGTGCAGAGAGTATAAATCAAAGGGTTTATTGAAATTTCCGAATAAATGCTTTTCGAACGTCCTTAATTAGAATTTTTTCGAAAAAAAGCTTGAATGAACGACCTTGTCCGGTGTGACCTTTACGATTGGCGGAATTATGGGCATTAACACTTTTTTACTCCAGTCATTCGAAAACAGCTTTTCATTTTACAATTTTTCAAAGATCGAATCGCGTCGGAGTGGAACAATGGGGCGCGTTTCACAGAGGCTTTTATTGGCGTTTTGCAATTAATAAATTTCTACATTGGGGTGTTTCAAAATATTTTATATTTTTTTTAATGGTGTTGAAAGTACATTTAAAAACAAAAATTTTGGGTTGTAGAACCCTTAATATCAGGGTTAGCATGATTTAAATCAAATGATTTAAATCATGATTTAAATGATGATTTAATAATGATTTAAATCACTATTTTATAACACCCTATTCTACATGATAATAAAAGTATGAAGTGTTATGTCGCGCAGTTTGCCAAATGCGTATCAATTTTTAACAGTATTTATATCGCCCTGTCACAGCGTCAAGCATTTAATGGCTGAATATTTTCAACACGAACATAATAGTTGCAGTGATTTGATAGAGTGAAAATCATATTGACGTTTATACATGGCAACGGGCTCCCTTTGTTCTAAATTCGCACTCCGAAACATCAGTTTGCAGTTAATTCAAAATCAAATAATTGAACACTTTTTTTAAATATTAATAATAGCGATGGCTATGAAATAAAAATCCCTGTCAATTTTATATGTAAAATTATATGGGGATCGTCATCTCCAAGCCAACTGGACGCCGCAATTTTTCTGATCATACGGTATAATAAAAATATAATAAATTTTATGTACTTTTAAAATTTATTAGGCTTAAAAGGTTTAACTGCTTTGATATTATAAAAAATATTCAACCCTAGTTTTGAAATGATTTATTATGTTAGTCATTTTTGACATATTTTCAAAGATCTTAGAAAAATAGTAAAAGTGAAGGTAAAATTTTGAAAATTACAGTATTTGTAGGAAATTTTATGTAGATTTAGAATATATTAAGCTGAAAATTTTTAAGAGCTTTGATTTTGTTAAAAACTTGATTTTTACAGCCCTTGTTAGGAAATGATTTATTATGTTGGTCATTTTTGACATATTTTCAAAGATCTTAGAAAAATAGTAAAAGTGAAGGTAAAATTTTGAAAATTACAGTATTTGTAGGAAATTTTATGTAGATTTAGAATATATTAAGCTGAAAATTTTTAAGAGCTTTGATTTTGTTAAAAACTTGATTTTTACAGCCCTTGTTATGAAATGATTTATTATGTTGGTCATTTTTTACATATCTTCAAAGATCTTAGAGAAATAGTAAAAGTGAAGGTAAAATTTTGAAAATTACAGTATTTGTAGGAAATTTTACGTAGATTTAAAATATATTAAGCTGAACATTTTTCAGAATTTTGATTTTGTTAAAAACTTGATTTTTACAACGCTTGCTTTGAAATGATTTATTATGCTGGTCATTTTTTACATATTTTCAAAGATCTTAGAAAAATAGTAAAAGTGAAGGTAAAATTTTGAAAATTCCAGTATTTGTAGCAAATTTTAAGTAGATTCAAAATATATTAAGCTGAAAATTTTTAAGCGCTTTGATTTTGGAAAAAACTTCATTTTTCAAACCTTTGTTTTGAAATAATTTATGATGATGACTATTTTTGACATATGTATCTTCAGAGATCTTAGAAAAATAGTAAAAGTGAAGGCAAAATTATGAAAATTACAGTATTTGTAGGAAATTTTATGTAGATTTAAAATATATTAAGCTGAAAATTTTTAAGTGCTTTGATTTTGGGAAAACTGGATTTTTCAAACCCTTGTTTTGAAATGATTTATGATGATGGCCATTTTTGCCATATTTTCAGAGATCTTAGAGAAATAGTAAAAATGAAGGTAAAATTTTGAAAATTAAAACATTTGTAGGAAATTTTATGTGGATTTAAAATATATTAAGCTGAAAATCTTTAAGGGCTTTAATTTTATTAAAAACTTCATTTTTCAAACCTTTGTTTTGAAATAATTTATGATGATGTCTATTTTTGATATATTTTCAGAGATCTTAGAAAAATAGTAAAAGTGAAGGTAAAATTTTGAAAATCAAAGTATTTGTAGGAAATTTTATGTATATTTAAAATATATTAAGCTGAAAATTTTTAAGGGCTTTCATTTTGGGAAAAACTGGATTTTTAACCATTTTTGTGAAACGATTTATGATGATGATAGTAAAAGTGAAGGCAAAACTTTGAAAATTACAGTATTTGTTCAAAATTTTATGTATATATATGACGAATAAAAAGATTTGTATGTACTTCAACAGACATTAATAACTAATTCACTTTCACCCTCAAAACAAAATTGTTGCCATTTTCCCAATCATCTGGAAAATTGTAATTATCTGATATGAAATTCTGCAAATTCTCGATCGCCAGCTATTAATATAGGGCTTACCACGCAACGTATCGATTTCCCAGTCGAATTTCAACGGAAACTTTATGATCATTTCTGCGATGGCGAACCGATTCCAAAAACTATTCATTCTGTCATCCGTCTTTCTTTATTTGAACTTTGCGAAAAGTGGAGCCAGGAA